TTGCGTGACTCCCTTACATCGTGTCGTAATTTGCAAAATATAATTTACTAGTAAATGGAAATGATAATTTTCTTTTAAGTTATGCTCTGAATTCATTATCTGAATGTATGTTAAGAGGAACAGATACAAATGTTTGAAAATATGGATATTAAAATAAAAAAAGACACCACTGTGTTCACATTGTCTTTATTTTTTCAATATGATAGTCATCTGACCGGAAATAAAAGTTTCTTGACTTGAACTCTAGTTATTTCGCATTTAAAAGCACAATATGATACTCGATGTTAAGTTTCCTAATGAGGTCCATCTGAACAGTTTATTTCTCTTGGTTAACTGAGAACAGTTGTTCCTAAAAGATGAAAAGATACTATCATTTTTTGACTGTGCTTGTAGTCAGCAGAACTAGTTGACTTTTAAATGGATAGCCTAACTTCATATGGTGAAAAATCAGGTCAATAATCAGGTTATCGCTGGTTTGAACACTTCATTTCACCTTGAACCATCCTGTCATATGATTCGAATATTCCAAGCGATGACACGAGTTATCACAAAACATTCTATTTAATGGAACTCATATTTGTAGTTTATTTCAGTCTAGAAAATTCCCAACCCAACTTGAAGTTATTGATTCTCTAGATTGCTGACAACCAGGCGTTCAAATGATCTACATGTAACCTCAAGTTGAAAACTGTAACTGATTCCATTTTCACTACAATTCTTGAATTCCTTTTTACTTGGTGCCACTGCATTGTGTTAAGAAGTGATTTCACATGTCATATGTTAGGTGAAAGGCTCGATGCACTGTTTCACAGATTTCCCACAGTATACACATAAGGAAGCCTGTTTAGAACATGGATTTACAGCATTATGAAATTCCTTTCAGCGTTAGACTTACAGCAAAGTTTTCTGAATGTAAGGGGAATATGTAGTTCAGGAGGTATTCATCGACTGTATAACATCTTAACCTAAGCATTCTCAGTTGTTTTATGTAGACTTTAAGAGAGCTGGGAACAATGTCAATACGAGTCACACCAAATTCATTTTCTTCATCATATTCAAATATTTCATTCTTTATTTTGAAAAAATTCCACCAAATAAGACCAGAAAATAAAACACGTGATAGACGAATGCCGGTAATTTGGAAATGCATAGCTGAGGGGACGTATGTATTAACTAGTTGTAGAGGTGTTTGAAGGGTTTAAAAGTAGTAAAAATGCCCAAATAGCCACTTGGCTACATTGTGAGCTGTTAAACTGTGTTTTAGCAAATCAACAGTAAACCGGACTTTTGATCTATTATATAAGTAGTAGTATTAGTGTTAGTACTAGTAGTAGTAGCTACAATTCAACAGTACCAAATGTAGTAAAATCACACAAACTATTTCAAAATTTTCACTGTTTCCTGCGCAGTTACTGTAGTGAGTTGGCAACAAGGTAAAAACGCTTATGTAATCAATACAGCAACTTAGAATGATCGGTTTGAAATGGTTAGAACCATTAGATTTTGTTGGATCTAGGTTTGAAAAGCTCTGAATAGTTAAATTCTCGAACTGTACTTTTGTGTTGAATTCCTCATATTTCTAGTAAACGAGTCAAACCTACATTACAATGAAAAGCAGCTATACAATCAACTAGTTTAATAGTACTCTTCTGAGCACAAAGGGCAAATAATTTCACGGATTATTGACTACAGACTCCTATTTAGTTTTATGTTGATGTCATCATCACAGCTCTTGGTGATAGAAGGGACATATTTGTCAGATTCTTTCCTTCCATTCGCAGATAATTCCGAAAGAATGTGGTTGTCTTTTTGAGATATTTGTCGTCCTAGTTCTGGCAATATAGATCTAAGAGCATCAGAATGGTTCACAGTGTGCCGTTTCAGAGTAAACGAATTAGCTGAGATATCTTTGAGTTATTAATCCTTCCAGAACATCTTAGGATATTTGTGTTTTTCCAAACTTTCTTTTGAGACAAAAACTTTCTCACATGCCAAAGTATGTCTTACAGAAAAATGCAAAAACTTGTCCAGTCTCTTTACGGTCGAAGCGCGTTTGCTTTTCTTCAAATATCGAAACATGTATAGTTGATAATAGGAAAAGATGAAAGACGATTATAGCGATGAAGAACTTTTCCGTCATTTTGTTATTTGTATTTCCTAATTCATGTATAACGAAATAAATTTGTTAGTTAAAACAAAGTTATTGGGATTTATATTCATTAAGAAATACGGATACCAAAATAATGAATATCATTTATCCAATACCCTTTTTTCAAAGCATCAAATGTCAACTTGGGAATGATATCTGTAAGAATTTTCTTTCTTTTCAACGAGATCGTAGAGGACTGATCACTGTAGATAATCCCTATATGACATAACTATTTTTGTTTTCTAATCACTTTGTTTATTTCCTCATTTCAAACGCTCATAGACATTACGTAGCTTTCCTTTGTTATATAGCTTACACTGACATTTTATTGGAAATTACTTTAGTATGCTCTGCCCTCCTAACAATGTATTCACTAATGCACCGTTAAGAGAATGATTTCATTGAAAAGAAAAACATCTTGTTCATTGCTGTAATCGTCTTCTGTCTTTTCTTATGATAAAATGAGTCTGTTTCAGTATTTGAAAAAGATCATATGTTTATCTTAACATTTGTTGAATACATACTATCATTTAACAAATGACGTTTTATAACTATGGGTTATACCAGTGAACCAAACGCTTATGGTCTTCCACATACACTTATACACCAGTAATTTCCAATCAAGGTGAAACATACACGACTGTTTTTGAAGTTCTTCACAGGGTCTAGATAATTTAAGGCTAGATGAAGTTAGCAATCCAAAAGTTCAAACCATTATTATGCATTCATAGGGGTTATGTACAACGTCTGCCGACAACATGGTCATCAAAACCACTGAGCACGCTATATAATTCATTTATGATAAGATTATATTTTCTTTTCTTGTCATCTGTTTATTTCCATATTGTCAAAACTCCTACATATAATTTAGAGCAACTTTTTATCATACATTATTTTTTACCTCTGACTGGAATTGATTTTGGAATATACCACCTGTTCTAGTACATACCCACGAATTTACAGCTAACAGGATGAGTTTATCGATGAGAGAAAGAATTTTTTTCTGATAAAGTCGCCTTCTCTCTTCCTTTATAATGAAGCTATTTTGAAAAGCAAGTGGTTTCTGAATAATACTAGTTCAACCAAAACATTTTATTGCAAAGAAGCTGTTTTATTTTATCAGATACGTTTCAAATGTAACTCTTTGAAGGTGCTAAATGATAGGTTAAAACAACTTTTAAACACCAGCAAAACATATACATTTAAATGCGTTTCATAACTATTTTAGTATAATGAACAACTGTGAAAAGCATACCTCAGTGAGGGTGAAATTTACTAGGAAAAACTCCATAATCGACAGGGTAGTCTGTAGAAGGCGAAGTCCAATCAATGTTTTTAGAATGACATCCATTCACACAATATGTTTTCATGTACTAAAAGCCCGAACTATCACAAATTCTATACTTTATAGAATGAATAATATATTTTTAGAATAGATAAGTTCCTTCGGTCTTGATTACTACAGGAAACTTAACTGAAGTGTGTGGATTAAATGGGTTCGGTAATATAAAAAATGTACTGAAGAAAACATACATTTGATAATTTTTAAAATACTTGATCAAAGCAGAGATTGTCGTTGAGTTATTTGAGTGGTTTAAGTAGTATGTAGTGAAAGTGAACAAAACAGACGTACGAATGAACGTAACAAGTGGCACGAGTGAATCACTTCAATTTAACTAGCGGCATACCTAAAAGAAGAGAGGAGAAAAATTGTGTTAAGTAAACAAAACTGCCTCATAAAAGAAGAAATAGATGAGTAAAAGTCAATGAAAACGCTCAAAACTATGATAAGTGTCAGTACATGCATCTCAGCAATTGTGTCGAGTTTTGAGCCATGTCACCAAGAGTATGCAACCAACGAATAATATCTTCTCTACGTACCTAGTTAGAAGGCATGCATCTCACTGAACGACTTAGACTAACATGTAGAGACTTTATGTATGAGTTCCACTTCCCAGTCTAGCGATGCTAAGCCTCTTCTCAAATTAATTCCTTTCTAGCTGACAAAAGAAAGAGAAATACTGTAGCCTGACATTCCGAATGTATTAAACATGAAACAATTTATCTGTATATGAATATTTCTTCTCCTTAACACCCTATACTTCATTAGGCCGAAAATGTACGGGATGTTTGGTCTGCAATTATGATAGATAACAGTATTAATGGATGAAAGAATACTATGTGTATGTATACAGCATGTCAGGATTAGGGTGTGCCTAATTACAATATTTCAATGAATAATCAAACTGTCATATGAGATAATCACAATCAAACTATAGGATGTATCTAGGTTGATGCTAAAAAACGTTAGTGTGGTGGTCTGTGTATTGAGATGCTGGCTAATTTCCACCCACTTCCAGTTCCGAATGCGCAGCATTCTTGATTTCAGAGCTTAGAGTAACCACTAACCATTATATTTATATAACTGCAAACATGGATTTCTCATTATTTCTCCACTACATTAAAAATTCCCGCAATACTTTCATTTAGATAAAACTGAGTAGTATGCATGATCAAACTTTAGAGTTCATAAACAGACGATATCAGCCATTTGAACAACACATGCTGAAGACCCAACAAACATGAACGTCAATCTTATGTTCCAATCTATGTATACAGATTAATTAATCTCAATTTTAGAGCAATATATCATTTATCCACATATGTTTACATTTTGTGAATCGTTAAAAATACTCGAAAGTTGATTGTTCGTTTAAGAAACAAGCTCAATTTTTGTTATTGTAGTTTGTGAATGTTCTACAAAATGCATCTTATGGCTAAAATTGATTTACTTCAAAAACTAAGAAATCGCCTAAGTTTCATTCTGCATCTGAAGGATATATACTAGTCCTTTCAATACTCATGCTAACTTAAATGCTCAGAAACGTCAGCAAAAGTTTATTTTAGTTTGATTTTCACGAAAACATGTTAAGCGTGTATAACCGCTAAAAATTTATAAGTGACTTCTTCAATGAGCTGTCTACAACTCAGTTGAAGCATTCACTTCCTTACTAAGTTTACTGACTTTTTCAAACTTACTATTACTGATGTGAATAAGGCATGCTCCAAGAATAAAAAGGGCTTAAACTATCATTCTCAATTGAACAAACATTTGAAGCATTTCGGTATCATAGTGGCATTTCATTAGCCGACTAAATGCACTTAAGATGTGATACTTCAGCAGTGAGTATAACTTGCCAGCCATTATGCAAATTCTGTGAGTGAAAATTTTAAAGTTTAGACTGATCCATAATGTAAGAAAATTTTGTATTTTAAAACTTACTACACAATACAGAAAATAATAATATGTGTGAAGGTAGGGTACATATTTTTAGAAATATTCTATCTGGGAATGTTCTCACTGAAATTGACTCAATGACTATTACAAGCAGAGAAAAGAAAACCAGAAAAACAACCAACGTACACAATAAAAATAAAAGGCTTATTTTAAACCTCACTAGATGATTTTCCAGTTAGTTTATTTTATTCTTCTTTGATTTAGTGTGCTATTTAGATACAATGAGAATCAAAATGAGTCAAAAACTGTGAAAAGTTTGATTATCTAGTAGTCATTCACTTAGAAAAACTGGACTCCAAACCAGCTGGATAACCACATATTGATTTCAAAAACTATAAGTTATGGATTCTACGCCAAAACAGATTATTGTGAAGAAGTTGTTAGTTGGAACAAAAAATCTGATAAGTACTCTACGATACTCAGTTATCCTTAGGTGACTATTGACATAAGATGAAAGAGATCTGAATCAAGAAAATGTTTGAAAACTTGGTAAACCATATCTTTGGAGTAGGAGTAAATATTTGAAGGGCCATCTGTTCCTAACTATCCATAAATATGTCTGCTACGATATGGTTCTGATTTATAGATGATACGTTTACAATGCTGAAATCGGAACACATCAGTAGGTTCTTTGCACACATAAATTCAGTTGTGAATCCAATCCAATTTACCTGTGACTTAGAAAGTGAAGAAGGTGAGCTAG